TGTCATCTTATTTTAAAAATAATAAAAAATAAATGTGCTTGTGTTTGACAAGTTCATTTATGGTCCTGAAAATGATTAAATGAAAACAGACAGAAACCGCCTTTAAAAGTAAACCATGGATATGTGTATGTAAAACAAACAGAGGCGTATCGAGGCAGAGGTGTGAGGAAGGGTATGACACCCATCAAGCTTTGGTGCCGAGTGTCTTAGTCGGCATTTTCGTGCTGAAGTTGGCATATTCGAGTTACTATAGCTTGCAATTTTTTCGCTTTAATTACAATCAATTTCTGCAGTTAGCAAAAACCTTGCTGATGGTATCGGCACTTTTACAAAACACGCCCCCCACCCCGCCGTACTCACAAAGTTCGATACACCCCTACTAATAAACGCCAATTTTAATAGCAAATTCTCAGCTACAAAAAAATCAAAATTAATATAACTGATTGTTAAAAGTTATGTTCGGAAAACGACTCTGTATAGGTGAGAAACATACGAACAGAGGAAAAGTTAGAAACGTTTGAGATATGGTGTTACTAATTACAATCAATTTCTGCAGTTTTCTGATGGTATCGGCACTTTTACAAAACTCGCCCCCCCCACCCGCCGTACTCATACCACACTAGAAATAGACGCCAATTTTAATAGCAAATTCTCAACTACAAAAAACCAAATAGCAACAAAAAAAATCAAAATTAATGTACTTAACTGATTTTTGGAAAACGGCTCTGCATAGGAGAGAAACGTACGGACAGAGGAAAAGATAGAAACGTTTAAGATATGTTGTTATATGTTACAGACGGATAATAATAAATAAAACCCCAAACACAAAAACCAAATTTCAGTTAATTACGAAACATTCACAAAAATAGTTAAAGTAAACACACAAAATAGTTATCAAAGGAATTTATTAGAGAGAGGGGAATGCACTAATAAATTAACAAAAAATAAAATTAAACATTGAAATTATAACTGTACAATAGAAATTTTCACATTGTTAAAAGTACTTAGGCTTGTTCAAATCAAATGCATAATCAGCTTCAAAGGCTCTGAAAACATTTACATAAATTCTTTTTTAATCGACATTCTATACAGAAACCTTTTAATATATATTTTTTTATTTTAAAGCATTAAACTTTCGAATATAACTATCTACTTTATATAGTGTATGTATGTATACATGTATAATAAAAATGTAATTATTTAAATGCATCTCACAATATACATCACATTTCATCAGTAAAAGTTTAATAACAAGATATGAATGTTACATAAAGTTGATCCAGATCTATCAATAAACTTTTTAATTGCATATTAACACATTGCACCTAACTTTAATTATGGTGTTGCTGCTGCGAACCACCTTCAGGCTGATTCAAGTTGACACTATTAGAATTTAAATCACCAGTACCCTGTAATATAATCATTTTATAATAAATTACCAATCCCTTTAAAACAAATTTAATTATAACTGATGAATTATGAAATACTTAAAATTCGCAATATCGATATACCACACCACCATATCGCGTAGACTACTGATAAAAAATAAAAAGGTACAGGAAATCAATAATTATCAAAAACACCCCTATATGGCCCCATGTCGTCCCCAAACAATTATTAATACATACGCATTAGAAAAAAATATTGTCAAATAAAATTGAGTAAAGGAAAAATAATCTAATAAATTATCAAAAACTGATTAAGATGCATGAAAATATTTCGGATAATCATTGAGACCCCGCACTTCATATTTCATCCTACTCCTACATTCTGGGACTCCCAGAATATATCAGATACATGTATGTAACTATTAAAAAAATATGCCACTAATTTTTAAAAACAATACAAGAACACTATACTTACAGTGCATTTTGTTCAATTTTTGTCGAAAATGTCTACACTAAAAATACACAACACCATGCGGCAAGGCAAAACAGAAAGGATGAAGCTAATATAGGTAATAAGGGTAACGATAAATTGAACTTACTTTAGAAACAAAATATTGATATGGCTTTCAAAAATATTTATACATAATCCGTTGTTCTATCAATGATTTTCGGAAAATCATAAAAAGGCAATTATAAACTTCTTCCATTTATCGTTACCTTATGGTTCAATTAACTACTTTATGTAGGTACAATCCAATTTCAAAAAACATAAGTGCTCAACTTTCTTTGCAAAATTCAAGGAATATGTTTATCGCCCGTTACCCAAAAATATCCCATTAGTTCACTATTTTAATTATTAAAATTTTGCAAAGAAGAGCACAAGCAAAAACAGAAAAGGTAAAGTGAAGAAAAATAAACATCTCCATATACTTAAATAGGAAGTCATTATAATCATCTACACATAAGCATAGTTCGATCTTTCAATACTAGTAAGCCACAATGTTTGCCCAAAATCCATCAGAAAAAATACAGCAATATTATTAATTTAATGCAATACGGCACAGTTTTCTAAAATTCGATCTTTACTAATGATAATAAGATAAGAGAAAAACTCACATTCCGTTTGACTTGACTCATATCCTGCGCAGGACTCTAACGAGTTGCAAATATCGAAATAGACACAGTACACATCTTTGAATAACAATTTCAAAGTTTATTCAGTTTGTATAATATAATAACGCAAAAGTCGAAAACACTGCAGTTATTTATATAAACATGTATTTACCAAATCGAAAATGAAAAAATCATGTGCGGACGTGAAATAGTACACGGAAAACAACCCTTTCAATATTCGTATATAATCCACGCTAAATTGACAATATAATTAATCGAATAAAAAGTAAATGACATTTGTACAAAAAAAAACATAACATCAAACAAAGACTTACATTTGGACTTAAAACGTATATCCAAGGAAAATCAATCCTATCGATCGTAAATTTCAGAACGGAAAAACGCGAAAACCGTCACTAGCACACCAGCAACGCTACTCAAACTGAAGCAAACTATAAGCTGTAAAAACTATTACATCGAGCAGGCTAAAAAAACTTTTATTCGGTAATATCACGAAAGCTCACGAGGCAAATTACTCAATTAACCATTGGTTGAAATTAACAAAGTCGAAAGGTCAAGTTAATAAACATTATATACAGTATCTCACAAGATATATTCGTATGCTATACCGAACGTCAATTAATAACAATAACTACATAATAGACAGTAACTTTTGAAAAGGTTGGAAAAACTACAATTACAGCTTTACTGAAACTGAATATAAAAAGAATACAGTACTTGAAGAAAAAAATGTTAACTTTTACATCTCTAGCTATTCATAAATAAATACTGTAGGTACTTCATGCAACATGCAAATTATTACACAACTTGAATAATAATCTAAATGTACTTTGCAAAGAAAAATTTGGGGGAATATTCATTTATAATACGTTTCATAATTTTGTCTGAGCGTAGAAACTAATTGTCGCCGTTATTTTAGTCCACGATAAATAATGAATTAGAATGTAAGTTATTATTCAAAACAGAAAGCATCCTAAGCATTCCCATGTTCCCATCTAATTATAAAAGGCAAATTAAGCTCTTATTCCACGTACCTTTCCAACAGGTGGAGCTTGCCCAGGTTGTGAACTTGACTGCTGTTGAGACTGCGCCGGTGCCTGTTGACCTACATTAGGGTTTCCTTGAACAGGAGGTTGATTAGGAGGAGAAACAGCCGAAGGAGCTTGGTTATTGGATCCTGGAGCAACAGGTTGATTAGGATAGCCTTGAGGTGGAGCTTGATTTGGATATCCTTGTGAGGGAGCCTGATTAGGATACCCTTGAGGGGGAACTTGGTTAGGATATCCTTGAGGAGGGGCTTGATTTGGATATCCTTGAGGAGGGGCTTGATTTGGATATCCTTGAGGAGCATTATTAGGATATCCTTGTGGGGGAGCTTGATTAGGATACCCTTGAGGAGCCTGATTGGGATAGCCTTGAGGTTGAGCTTGATTTGGATATCCTTGTGGGTGGGGTTGATTTGGATAACCTTGAGGGGGAGCTGGGTAACCTTGTTGAGGAGGCATTTGGTGAACTTGAGGTGGTAACTCATTGGGATATCCTTGCTGGTATGGATAATTAGCATACCCTGGTTGATTAGGATAATATCCACCATGTTGCATCTGAAACAAATTGAAAACAATTTTCAGTTTTATAGAAACAAAATAAAAGAAGTTTAGTTTCTAATTATGTACTAATGTTTTCTTGAAGACTTTGTTATTATTTGCAGTAATGTAAAAATAGTAAAAGAATTAAGTACTTGATATTGATTGATGTATTCCTGTAATTCTTCTGCAGTGTATGGCTTGTTTTCATCTAAAGGTTGCCATCCATGATCTTCTTGGAAATTAGGATCTTTAGTTTGCGAAACAAATTCATTAAAATCGATAAAATTATCGTGGTTTTTGTCAACGTCTCTGAACACTGTCTCTCTCATTCTTTCCATTTCTTCTATTCTTTCTGCCATATCATCCTCTGGGGCTCCTGCAGCGTACATTTTGTCCAACTCTTTAACAAATAGTGCTTTAACTTCATTTTCATCCCATAGTCCATTAGAATCTAAATCATGTAGCATAAAGAATGTTTTGGGATCAAATTCTTGTTCCATGTGGTCCTGCTTCTCCCAAACCTCTTCCAACTGGGCTTTGTGTCCTGGTTCATGAAGAGGCTCATGTTTTTTGTGTTTCTCCTCTAATTCCTGTAAGACAAATTTATTCACATATTTATGAATAGCAAAATGTTACATCATTATTCACCTTATACTGCTTCTCTAGTTTCTCCCTTTCTTCACCAGTAGTATGATTTAATTTTTCCATTTTCTCTAATTCTTTTTGCATTTCATATTTCTTAAAATCTTCTCTTCTTTTGCGATCTGCTTTTGCCAAATCTTCTGTGGTTTTAGCAATTAATTTTTTAAGATCCTCAATTTCAAATGTATGACTTGAATGATCTAAATGATCCAAACGTCCATGATTAGGATCCTCAATATAATTACCTTCTGCCAGGCCATTCTTTTTCTCAACTAAATTACGTAACCTCTCCATTTCAGTTCGTTTAATTTCATCTAATTTTGTTCTAACATGATGTGAAACAAATTCTAACTGGTTTGCAATTTTTCCAGATCTTATATCTTCTTCGTTTGCCTGCTCTAACTTCTTCCTAAACTCTGGGTCTGACTCCAATGCACTCACCACTTCTTTTAAATACCTGTGATACTCCATGACGTCTTCAATGGGTTCCTTTTCTTTTTCAGCTTGAGGTTTATCTTTTGTAACAGGAGGTGCAACAATTACTTGTAAGCACAATATGGTAAACAAGGATACCACTTTTGAAACCATTTTAAGCTGTAACAAAAAAAATATATTTATAGAAGTCTAACAATCATTAAACTCAATAATGTTTTACACAATTATTTAGATTTTCTATTACTTAAAAACATTTAACAACAAAATATTCTAGACTAGAGCGCATCTCTTACCACTTATTATTTTATTTGAAACAAAATTTGGCACGTTCAAGAAATGGTAAAGAAAAGTTTAACAATAATAAACTACTGACGTGTACTTACGCTTTCTAAACGTTTAAAAATGTGGAATATTTACGCACCTATTTATTGTTTATTATTTTGGTTATCACGTCAAAACGTGCCTGACTGTCAAACAATTTTATAGTGTTTACAACCACGCTTGTTTGTACCTAAAACCTAATTGACTTCAATAATCGCTTAATTTACAGCATTTTGATTTAAAACTAATTGTAATTGGTATTGATAATAGTTAATATAAATAATATTATTATGAACCTACTTTATTATAAGTAAAAACAGAAAATGATAACGTATCTGTGAGACACTTTGAAACTATTTTAAGTGGTGATTATCTAACCTCAAATATTTAACCTAGAATTAAACTAAACTCATATTTAATAAATGGTCGAATTTTATTAATTCTAACTATAAATGTGCCCCAAGTATTATTGTAATATTTAAAAATGCTGTCTAAAAGATATTGTCTTATTCTGAATAAACTAAGGGAACAACAAACATGTTTGACTGGGCACTGTAGTTTCAAGATTGATTGTACTAAAGGAAATGATAGTAAACCTGAAAAGGAAAGTTCTAACGTTCCGTTAAACAGTGAGGAAACTAAAAGAAGAGTAGCTTTAACAAACCAAGTAACTAAAGAAGATTTGCAATGGCGTAAACCATGGAAAGATGAATTTAGAGGCTACTTCACAGTCTTTCGAAACTTTTATTCAGAAAAGAGTAATACGGAATTGATCAAGTTTCTCTCCAGTCCAATTGATTTATCACCCTCATCTATAAAAAAGTGGTGGATGAAGAAACAGAAAGAAAAACAAATTGTAATGCAAGGCTATATTCCAGAGAGAGTTGAAGTTCTTGGCTGTGAACTGGCAGCAGCCCACTTCATTGTTTTTAGAGGAGGTGCAGTAAAATTTTTTCAAGATGATAAATGGATTAAAGCAGATGAAGATGGAAACTACAGCTTACCTAGGACTTATGCAGAGGGCAAATTTTTACAAGGAATCGATTGCTCTGAAGTTGATCTACACTATGAAGGCCTAGTCAATTTTAGAAATTTGCGTCAAGTTGAATGGCTAAGCTTTAATAATTGCAAATATATAGACGACTGGTGTTTAGACACAATAAGCAATATTTTTAGTGAAACCTTAATCTATCTGGATTTACGTAATTGTTCTAATATTACACATAGAGGAATAGGAGCATTGCATAAGATCAAAACACTAAAAATATTGTACCTCGACTCTATGTATAAAGGTCAAGAACTCGAAATGACTTGTATTCTGTTACAAGAGCTGCTACCTGATTTAGATATACGTATGATTGATAGTTAGAATTATTATCTTTCTCTTGTGTTATTTATTTAATNGTCTACATACTAACATTCTAGCATTAATCTATCAAAGTTAATAAAACCGTTCCTGGGGGAAACCGGAAGCAAAAGCAATTAATTATGTTGTTTGGATCGACCGACGAATCGGAAACGACTTTTACGTCTTGACCCCTGACGGCAACAAAATGTGCCCCTTTAATAAGAAAACATTCTGACTAAAGCTTTTTGATAGGAGACGTAATCATTTAAATGAGCCATTTACTCAGCTATTATCTATTTTTTTGAAATGAAAAGGTGAAATTTACTTTTACTACGCTCCCTAAAATACTCTGTCGTATTTTCTTGCTTTTCAAATAAAAACCACATCAAAGAATCTCGCTTATACCATGTTATAATTACAAAAGCAGCTACCGAGTCAGAACAAAACAACTTGCGTCCTTCGACGCCGTTTTCGCATCGAAAAACTGGACAAAGTAAAGCAATTAAGCTGTAACAAGTGTAGAATGGTGCAAGGGTGGAAAAATTAGAAAACGCTTTTTATTTTTTTGTTTCGTTTTTCTCTCAAACCACAAAGTTTAATTTACTCTCCGTGGACGTAGCAAGTTGTTTCGTTTAGCCCATTTTTTAACTCAAATAAATAAAATAGCTAAAACTCAAAAAAATTACTAAGTTACTATTCGTTTTTACACTTCACAATAAAAGGAGGACAACCAGGGACAGATTTGAGTTAAATTGCACCCTTGACCCATTCCAATTTGACACCCTGCTTGTATTTTATCTAAGTTTTAACCTCGGCTTCGCTATTCTATATTTAGTATTTTTTCTGTATAAAAAGTATCCTATGTCTTTTCTCTACTCTTGACAATTTGTGTACAAAATTTCGTGATAATCAGTTGGGTAGTTAAGGCGTGAAGTGGTAGCAAACAAACTCAAATATTGAAGTTTGTAATATTAATTAAGATTATACTTATCGCTTTCGTTAATGTACTATAATTTCCATATTTTCGCTGACATACACCAACGTGAACATTAATTAATGTCACTATTTCGACATTTTACAATTTCCTTAAAAAACCAACAATTTTGGATTTTGTTTAAGTTAAGACTAGCTTTATCTCCTCATTACCTACTAATCAGAAACCAGAAAACGCAAATTAATTGTTAATTAACAAGTTCTAACAATGAGCTTGATCGATCGATCACCAAAAAAATCCAAAGATTGGCTATAAGGACTTTAGATAATGAATTACGCCTACAATTAAAATAATACCGTCATTAAATCATATCCGATCATACCGGATATGAGAGAATGACTATATAGGGATGATTTTCAAGAGTAATATTCATTATCTCAACAAAGTTTTAAAATTGTACCTATTCAATAAATCTAATATCATTTTAACTCTAAATAGAACAATACAGTTTGATAGAAATAAACATTGCGCGAATAAAACCAATTGTTAGCCTTTCCAAGGACCAATTAATAAACAATATATGTTGTGAATAGAATTAATTACAACCGATTCCTGTTCCACAAAATTGGATTTAAGGTCATTAAAGAACAGAAATGCAAACAGAATTATTTTTAATTATCCTCCATAAGATTACAAAATTAACTGAGTTATTCATGAAATATCCAAGTACCTATAGACAGCATATCGACATCTAGCGGTTATTTGCTATATTTATAAAGTATTTCACACCATTTTTATAAGAACTTAAAATAAACGTTCCAATTATTCATAATATTATGTGAAAACGTTTTCTACGCTTTTATAAACACATCCTTTCCCATGATTCAGTCTTAAACAACCCCTGAAAATCGTTTAATAATAAAAAACTTTCTTACGGCGGTTAAATTTTATAAAAGCACTTTTAATTTTTTATATTCTTCCTTAATTGAACCTGTTTCGGTAAAAATGGGAGTTGTTACAGTAAATGGCTGTTATTATCAACACACATTAATAAAAATAATCCGTTTAGGGTAGCGAAAACAAAAACCTACAAAAAAGGCCCTGTTACGTTTAATCTCTTGATTAATGATATGATAAAAAAAAAGAAAATACAGGACAAACAAGGGGGTAAAACATAAATATGGAAATCAAAAGGTATACCAATGCATACATAATATACCCTGATATATATGACTTCATTAATTTTTGCCATATTTACCAATCATTTTAATTTTCGAAATGAAATAAATAAAAATAAAAGTATATCCAGGAAGTCGAAT